GAACTCCTGAGCTCAAGCAATCCTCCCACCTCAGCCTCCCAGAGTACTGGGATTACAGATGTGAGCCACCGTGCCTGGCTGATGTTTTCCCTTTATTTAAGGGACATTTTGTGTGGTTTACTCAGGCCTGCGTCGCTGACGTTTTCAGTGGTGTTGACCCTGTTTGAGAGGCTTCTGTCGGGCTCCATCCTGCACTATGTTCCTCTCGAGTTTCTTGCCCTCTGCCAGCCTGCTTCCCTCCCCTATCTTGTAGTTGCTGCTTTTCACACTGTAGAAACTGTTCGTTTCTACGTGTTTTTAAGGGAGACCACACTCATTGTTTTGAGAGTGTGGAATGGGTGGAATTGGGACAGGGAAACTGCTGTTTTGCTGGAATGTTCATTGGGCCAATCTCATGTGTTCCAGGGAGACCCTGGAGCGAGGCCTGGAGTTCTGCCGGCACAGCCAGAGGGCGGACGGCTCCTGGGAAGGGTGAGTGGGCCCCGCCCTGGGTGCAGGCCCGCAGGAGCGGAGGGTTCTGCTCTCACATACTGTTCATAGATTGCTTGTGTGATCCTGCTATACCAGAAGTTTCTGGAAGCAGCCTGCCGGCCAGTGGATTTCTGGTCGACTCTGTTCCTTTTTTGAATGCCTGGGCTTCACCTTGGTGGGAGCTGCTTAGCGTGTTGCAGAGAGCAGCGGGCTGAATGTGATCACTCCCCTCCTCCTCCGGCTGCTTGCGTTGGTTCTTGGGTGTCTGGCGGGGGTGGCGGGGGGCTCCTCAGGGGGCAGTGCTGTCTTCAGTGGCCTCAATGCCTATGGCGCTGGAGTTGGCGCTGCTGCTCGCTGAAGCGCACATGAATGGCGTAGAACAAAACGCCTCTCATTTCACGCACTTGCTGGGACCGAGACGAAGGGCTGAGGTGCTCTCCCCTCTCCCCTCAGCTCCTGGGGCGTGTGCTTCACCTACGGCACCTGGTTTGGCCTGGAAGCCTTCGCCTGCATGGGGCAGACTTACCGAGACGGGTGAGTGCGGCTGCCTGTCCCGCTGGGTGGGCTCAGCGTGATGATTTGCTGTTGGTGTCTTTTCCTTCTGTGCTTGAGTTCAGGAGTGTTGTTACAGAGTCAGATCAGATCAGAAAATGTCCCAGATTGACACGGGGATGTTCCCGGGCCTCACAGCTCTGCAGAGCTTCCTGACTCATGCAGTGGAGGGACACCCTTGGCCCCCGGCCCGAACCTGCACCCCGAGGAGAGGGTTGGGGTCTAGGATGCTCACCGGGCTGGTCAGGAGGAGGGCGGAGGCCTCGGGTCCGCACCTGTCTCCGGCTGCCTTGCCCCACTCTGCTGGGCCTGTGAGTATTCAGCGGCAGGTGGGCCTGCTCGGCTGGGGAGCCCATCAGGTGCAGCTTGGGCATTCCCGACTTTCTTCAGGTGCCACCCAGACACTGTCCACACCGTGACCTGACGTGTCAGTGAGGCCTCTGTAGCACAAAGCGTTTTACTTTATCTTCCCAGCAGCTCTGGGGGCTGGTGTGCCTGTCCACACTTCACCAAGGAGCAGAAACCAAGCTCAGGGTTTCAGTAGCGCCTCCAGCCTCACGCAGGGGTGGGGTGGCCCCGGTGCAGGCTCCTTCCCCACCGCCGCTCCCCGAACCCTAAGGCAGCCTGCCAGGGCCAGAATCCGGGGTGCAGACCGACCTGCTGTGTCTCCTGGTCTCTGCAGGGCTGCCTGTGCGGAGATCTCCCGGGCCTGCGACTTCCTGCTGTCCCGGCAGATGGAGGACGGAGGCTGGGGGGAGGACTTCGAGTCCTGTGAGCAGCGGCGCTACGTGCAGAGCGCCCGTTCCCAGATCCACAACACCTGCTGGGCTCTGATGGGGCTGATGGCTGCCAGGTGGGGACCACGGCCCCGGCCCTGAGCTGGGGGTCGGGTGGGGGAGGGACGCGCAAGCTAGAGCAGGTGGCCTGGACTGAGTGTGGACGTCGCGAGAGGCCTGCAGGCCAAGGGGCTGGGCCCCGTTTAGCTGCCACTCTGGGAACAGACTCCTGTAAGAGCTGTGTCCGCACTCCCAGGGCAGGCAGGGGGCCCATCCCCTGTCTGACCGAGCGGGGTCTGGGGGAGGCTTGCCTCTTAGGAGCGGACCACCAGCCACTGACGGCGTCGGTGGCAGAGCCAGGGAAGCAGGGGCCCAGTGGGACGGGCGAGGTGGACTGTGGTGGGGAGGCTGCTTCCTGGGTGGTGGCCATGGCGGCTGCCTCAGCGGCGACAGCACAGGTCCCTGCAGCTGCTCTCTGTGGCCCTCTTGCCTCCATAGCGGGTGCTGAGCGACATACATGTGCAGGCGCACACACATGCAGATGCACACAGATACGCACCTGCACACACAGGCACGTGCAGACACGCACACGTATACACTCGCAGGCACCTGTGTGCTGTGGTGCCCCAGTCCGTGCTGCCCTGTTGGATTTGCAGCCACCTGGGGAATCTTCCTCAAACCCCCCAAAGCTGGGCTGGCTCAGCCTGAGCAGGAGCAGTGTCTGGGGGGACCTCGAGGGCAGGACAGTTAGGGTCCTTCTCGCGTCTCACCCTGGCCCCCAAGTGTCAGCTCTCGTGGCTTCCGTGGCCTCCAGAGGCCCTTGTGCGGGCCGCGGGCCAGGTCCGAAGAGGCGTGTATCCCTCCTGGCCTGCTGCTTTCTGTGCCTGCACGGCAGCCTCTCAGGACGCCTAGCGGGGAGCGTGGCGAGGCCTGAGCCGGGGCCGGTGGTTCCTAGCGGGGCCTGCGGGTCATCACTGTGGCTTTCTGCGGCTGTCCTCGCGCTTGGCCGCGTGAGGGTGAGGTTGGAAGTTTATGGTGCCGTGCACCTGGGTATGTCCCAGCCTGTCCGCCTTCCCTCCAGGCACCCCGACGTAGCGGCCCAGGAGAGAGGAGTCAGGTGTCTGCTGCAGAAACAGCTTCCCAACGGCGACTGGCCCCAGGTATGCCGCCGGGGCCAGAGAGCACAAGGTTCCCGTTTGCTGGGGACAGGGGTGGGTCTGAGCGGGGCTGTGGTGCCCCGACTGACTCAGGGCGGCAGGGCCACCTGCACGGGCCTTTCTTACGGTCTCCATTAGCGCCTCACCCAGGAGCCCGCCACAGTCAGGGACGGGCTGTTCCGCTGCCTGGGGGAGCCTTTGTGTTTATGTCTCTGTGTCCTTCTAGGAGAACATCTCTGGGGTCTTTAACAAGTCCTGTGCCATCTCCTACACGAGCTACAGGAACGTCTTCCCCATCTGGACCCTCGGCCGCTTCTCCCACCTGCACCCTGAGAGCGCCCTCGCCGGCCACCCCTGAGGGCACATCTGCTGGCGGGGCGGGTGAGCGGTGGCGTCATTTAAGTTCCAGGCAGGGCCAAGGTGTCTAGGCCAGGTGGGGGAACCATCTGTGACCCTGCCTCGGGCTCCAGCCGCCGTCCCTGACCTCTGCAGGTGGAGAGGACCAGGCCCGGGGCAGGGTGGGCAGGGTGGGGGCTGCTGTAGACGCTGGGTTTTCGGCGTAGGGTTAGTTCTGAGGATAGCTTGTCAGTCTCGGGTGAGGAGAGGAACAAGATGAACCGGGACCCTTGAGCATGACCTTCCACGGCATCTCAGCACAGGGATGAGACTGGGAGGGCTTTTCTGACCCACAGCTGAGTTCTTGGGAGAGGAACAGCTGTGCCTTGTGCTGTTCCTGCCTGGGTCTGCTGGGCACGTCCGGGCCGGCCGCTCCTCTGCTCTGTCTGTAGGGCCGAGGACGTGGGTGAGCCCACGGTGACGGTGGGGACAGTGTGCTGTGAGCAGCCCGGGCAGTGGGGGCCTCCCTGAGCACCCCGAGGCTGCAGTGGGAGCCGAGCGTGGCCCAGGCCTGCCCCCAGGTGGCAGCTGGCCTGCGTGGCGCTGTGGCTCGGCGGGTCTGTGGGCACCAGCATCCCGACCCCCCAGGGGTTGTAGTCACCTGTTGAGACAGAAACACGCGCAGGTGCCCGAGCAGCACAAGGGTTGGGGGTCAACCGTCATGGTGGTTACCGCTGTGGCACACTGCTGTGGGCCGGGGCAACCTGTCACGTACCAGGCACGGAGCCGGCTGGCAGGGGTGGCAATGCCCAGGCACCCAAGGCTGCTGCCAGCCTCGTGCTCCCGCGGGTGCTCTGGGCTGGGGTGAGGCCTCAGGGTTCACTTCTGAGCTCCCTCTGGCTTCTAGCCCTGTCTGGCCCGGCTTGTGTGGACATGGCTTAGGATGGAAAATTCGGGTCCTGACTTGGCCTTTGACCGGCATGGACGGGTGGCTCCTGTGCTCGGGGCCAGCCCGAGATTCCTGCTGTTCTCTCCTGGCCATGGCGAGGGGTCGCCGGGAGCTGTGATGGGAATAAGACCCAGGCCTGGCACTAGCCCTGCAGCCTCCCCAGCCTGCCGACCCCGTCCCTGCCAGCTCCTGGACAGCCGGCAGCCCAGGCCTCTCTGCCTTCCCACATCCTTCCGCAGACAGCCAAGAGCTGTGTCTGGATGCCTCTCCGATCCCGGCATTCCCCGCCTGCGCTCTCGAGGGTCACCCTCTGCCTCAGCGCAGGTCCAGGGCTCTCACCGAGGCCCCGTGCCATCTGCCCTCCTCCTGCCCAGCTCTTGCGCCCCCACTCCCTGGGGCTTGAGTGATTTCCTCTGCTGACCTCTCACCCTCCTGCTCAGGGTGGTCTCCTGCCCCCTGGGAGTCCTGCAGGGCTGGGCAGGCTGTGCTCTCCGGGTGGGGCTTTAGCATGGCCCGACGACCACCACCGCTGCAGAAAACATAAAAAAACGCTTTATTTGGCTGAAAGAATGTGTTGGGACCTTGAAAGTTGCTGGGTTTGCGCACACCCTTCTTTTCTCAGCCCACAAGTTCTCCCCCAACTGGGGCAGCAGCAGGACAGACGGTGACCGTCAGAGCCTTCCCTGAGCAGCAGCTGCTGTCCCTGGAACTCCTGACCACAACCAGGTCACTGACCAGTTGTCCAGAAAGGAAATGTAAATCTACCTTCATGCTGAAAATGTTACTAAAATCACTAACATGACCAGCTGCCTTAATAAACAGACAGTGATTCCTAGACAGCAGCGTGTCGTGCTGTGTTTGTCTTGGGCGGGGTTTGCTGATACTGGCCCCTGACCCACCGTGGGGGCTGAGCCGGGAGCCCAGCCTGGTCTTGGGAGCAGTAGCTGCGCGAGGGTGAGCCGCTGCGTCTCCGTCAGCCGGGGTGAGATGCGTACGTATACTGTAAGAGAAAACAGCGTAGGCACTTACAGCATTTTTTTGTTAAGGGCTATAAAAACATCCAGAAAGAAGAAGTGTCGTACAGCGGTACTTGTTCATACGAAGAACTTCGATTTCATCGTTGTCCTTCACAGTGGCCTTCATGTGGCACAGGACCCTGCCGCCGCCTCTTACCGCGTGCTGCAGGATTCCTGAGTCCGGACCCGCCTCCATCTTCTCATTTATAGACCAAATCCACGTTCAATTCATTGTTTAAAAGGAGTGCATTGTTCTGTTCCGCGAAGAGGACTTTCATTGCAATTGGGCCGTGATGCAGAAGAGGGACCTGCCCTTGCAGAGGGGCGCGCTGAGCAGGACGCAGCAGCCACTCTGCACTGTCGAGCCCTGAGGGGAAACGTCTGCCTTGACACGACGGAACAGCAGGTTCTCCATCCTTTAGAGATTCTTGAATCCAAATTATCTTACTTTTGTTTACAGGAACAGATTTTGAATATTCTGGAGGTTTTTCTCTGCAACTGTATTAGGTTTTCTTTGTTTACTATGATATAAACTTCGGATCCTTGATTCTGGTTTTTTTTTTTTTTTTTTTTGAGACAGAGTCTCACTCTGTTGCCTGGGCTAGAGGGAGTGCCGTGGCGTCAGCCTAGCTCACAGCAACCTCAAACTCCTGGGCTCAAGCGATCCTCCTGCCTCAGCCTCCCGAGTAGCTGGGACGACAGGCATGCGCCACCATGCCCGGCTAATTTTTTCTATATATTTTTAGTTGTCCAATTAATTTCTTTCTAATTTTAGTAGAGACGGGGTCTCGCTCTTGCTCAGGCTGGTCTCGAACTCCTGAGCTCAATCCTCCTGCCTCGGCCTCCCAGAGAGCTAGGATTACAGGCGTGAGCCACCGCGCCCGGCCAGGATCCTTGATATTTTGATGTTAATATCAAAGTAGCGTTTAGGACAAGGAATAGTACCAGAAATAAATAAAGGGACATTCAGTAATGACCAGAGGGTCACTTTATCAAGACTTAACAATCCTGAACACGTATGTACTTAGTAACAGCTTCAGAACACACGGAGCGAAGCTGCAGGACTAAAGAGAATCAGACACGTGCGCAGTCCCATGATCTGTGAGGACGGAGATTGGAACACGCGCTGACGGCTTGTGCAGAACACGTCAGCTCGCGGTGGTGAAGCCGCGTTCTCACGTGCACCACGCACCATACACGCGTGTGCTGCGCCATGAGAAGACCCTCCAGAGATGGAAAAGGACTGAAATCGCAGAGAGTGGTCTGACCACAGTGAAGTTAAATTAGAGCCAGCAACAAACAGATTGGGAAAGTTCCAGATATTCGGAGGTGAAACAACACGCTTCTGAATGAGCTGTGGTCACGGGTGAGAGCGTGGAGAGCAACGCTGGGGACTGCTGCTGCCGACCCCGACTGACCTCGAAGCCACCGCGGTCGGGACAGCGCAGTGGCGGGACAGCGCAGTGGCGGGACAGCAGGTCCGAGGGACAGAACGGGGGCCCGGGCAGCCCCACGCGCACACAGCTGCGCTTTGGCGAAGGAGCAAAGGCAGCTCCACGGAGAAAGCACCGTCTTCAACACGCGGGGAAACAGCCAAACATTCACGTATAGTAAAGTGAATCTAGACACAGGCTTCACGCCCTTCGCAAAGGTAGCTCAGCAGGGATCACTGACCTCAATGTAAAATGCAAAACCATAAAACTCCTACAAGATCACGTAGGAGAAAATCTAGGTCCCCGTGGGTTTGGTGACGACCGTGTAGATGTGACACCACCGGTACGATCCGTGAAAGGAAACATTGCTAAGTTGGACTTAATCAAAATTAAAAATTTCTGCTCTGCAAAAGACAATGTCAAGAGAATGAAAAGACAAGTCAGAGACTGAGAGAAAATATCTGAAAAAACACATTGGCTAAAAGACTGTCATCCGAAAGAATTCTTAAAACTTCACAATAAGAAAACAACCTGATTAAAACCTGAGCCAGAGACCTTAACAGACATCTCGCCAAAGAAGATACGCAGATGGCAAATGAGCGTAGGAAAAGACGCCCCACATCACGCGCCACGTGTCACCAGGGCCACAAGCTGACACACCTGGGTGTCCTAACACCTGCTCACGTGGCCCCCCGCTGGTGGGATGCAAAATCGTGCAGCCACTTTGAAAGGCAGTTTGGCAGCTTCTTACAGAGCTAAACGTGCTCTTACCGTGGGATCCAGCCGTCTCCTCGGTGCTCACCCAGAAGAGCTGAAACTGACGCCCACACAGAAACCTGTGCAGGGATGTTCGTGGCACTTGTATTCGCAATCGCCAAAACTGGGAAGCGCCCAGGACATCACCAGTAGGTGAGTGGATAAACCGTGGCACGTCCAGACGGTGGGATATTATTCAGCACCAAAAAGAAATGCGCGATAAAGCCGTGGAAAGACTTGGAGGAACCTTGGGTGCGTGTGACGAAGTGGAAGAAGCCAGTCCGAAAAGCTGCGTGCATGCGCCTCCAACTGCGCCATGTTCCGGAAAAGGCACGTGGTAGAACGTTCAGTGGTGGTCAGGGCTGGAGCACGGAGGGGTCTCAGGGCAGTGGCGCTGCTCTGTGTGACGCCGCGGTGGTGGGTGCGTGTCGTTACACATTTGCCCAAGCCCGCGGAACGTGCAGCACCAAGCGTGAGCCCTGACGGGAGCCACGGACTCTGGGTGGTGGTGACGCATCGGTGTGGTCACCGGTTCTCACGGTGTCCCTCCGGGGGGACATGTGATGGGGAAGGCGGCGCATTGCGGGGCGCTCTCTGTACCTTCCTCTCAACCCTGCTGTGAACCTAATACTGTTCTAAAAATAAAGTCTTTCAATGAGAAGGATGAAAGCACAAGGGAGATTAGAAAGTGTTTCCAGCCGAGTGAAAATAAAAATATGACATCAGAATTCGTGGGATGTAGCTACACAAGCTGTAAGTAAGTAAGAAGGGCTTAAAGTCAGGGATCTGAGCTTCCTGCTTAAGAAGCTGAAACCACAGTAAGCGGAAGGAAGGAAATACAAGAGCCGAAGTCAAATGCAATAAAACATAACAGAGTAAATCAATGCATCTGAAAGCTGGTGCTTTGAAAAGATTAACGAGCCTGTAGTTTGAGCAAAGGGAAACGGCCTGTATCGGGAATGAAAAGGTGCGTCCAGCCTGCTCTGCTGAGCCTGTGCTCCGGCCCGGCCCCCGCGACGCTCGTCCTGGGCCCTCTGCTCCCACCTGCCCTGCCTCTGCGTGTCCTGCGCACACGGCATCTCCACGTCCATTGCCGGTTTCCCGTCTCGGAGGGCGAGACTGCAGAGGGCATAACAAGGGAGTGTCTAGCACTGATGCCAGATTCCGCCACTTACAGTAAATGGGCAAATTCCGTGAAAGACAATTGTCATCAAAGTGGACAGGAGAAAAAATAGAAAATTTAAGTAGCCTTGTATCTGTTTAAGAAACTGGATTAGAAATTTAAAACTTTCCCAGGAGAAATCCAGGCCCAGATGGGTTTGCTGGTGGATTCTATCAAACATTTAAGAAAGAACAACAGTCTAACGCAAATACCCAGGAGGCAGAGTAGGAGGGCCGGGCAGCTAGCTGTGTGAGGCCCGTGTGCCCAAACCAGACCAAGACGTTGCGAGGACGGGAGGCGCGGGTCAGTCCCCTCGTGAACACAGCACACTCAACACACGCCAACGACAGGATCCGGCAACGTGGCCACAGTAAGGCGCCGTGGGCAGCCGTCCGAGTGCTGG